ACTCCCAGCGAACAGTTTTAAAAACAATGGCACATCAAAATATTCAAGCAAGGGTTGCTTATATCAGAGTCATTTCAAAACCTTACTCGGCTCCAGAAGATCCTGAGGGTTATCACTGTACCAAAAATCTTTATTACAGACAAGCAATGAATGAAAAAATATAATCAATATCAAATACAAGGATTTATTGGCTAAATACAACGAATTATTGGCAAATAAGAATGCTGAAAGTTCAAATTCCGACCAAAAATCAAGTCACGAAGATGAAGAAACCTTGCCGCAAAAAGTTGGCAAAGTAAATGAGCAATTTGAATGTGAGCTCGAGAAAATAAATAAACAACTTTTAGAAAATAAGAAATTAGATGCTCAAATTGTAGAAAATATGTCCAGGTTTTAAAATATGAAAAATTCGCTTGATCATGCATATGAACATTGCAAAGAAAACAATCTTTGTAAACAAGAATTAGAAAAGGTTAAAAATGAATTAAAAAATGCCGAGAAAAAAGCTTTAACTTTAGAGGCTGCACTTGGAGATGCTACTAATGTTCGTTTGAGTGATGATTCCCCAAATAGTTCTCTCCAATTAAATAAAGATATCACTAAATTTAAAAAATTAGTAGAGAAAACAAGTAAAAATCAAAGAGCAAGCAGCAAATAGTTTATTATCAAAATATAAGTTTAAGAAAAATAACGATACTTTTAAGGATGTTTTAGGATTCATCCTTCAAAGTATAATAATTTATAAAGTATTTTCTGCGATAGAAAATATAACATACAGAAACAAAAATGGAAATTTCAATTATTTTGAAACAGCAATTATGAATTATACTAATGAAATAATTGAATGGACCACTAAACTATCCCAAACCCGACCTGGAAATGATCATGTTACCAAGATGACCCCTATCAAAATTCGACAACAAATATATGAAGCTCTTGCATTGCGTGGATTCAACAATTATAATAATAAATCTATTAATTCAATCAGAGATGATATTATGAATGAAATGAACAAATATCGTGAAATTCTAGATGAAGACAGAAAAAAGAATATCTACAAGAATGCTGATGAACTGGTCCGTACTGGTATTAAACTGTGGTTTCGTTTGAAAATTCAGGAGCCTGTAGTAAATATTGAATGGTATAAACCGGGGGATGCTGTCGATACCAATTTCATGGAAGGAACATGGGAGACCAACAATATAAATAATTTTGGAGTAGAATTGTGTTATTTTCCTTGTATATTATCAAAAGGAAAAGAAACTGAAATTTATTACAAATCTCAAGTTACGATTCGAAAAAAAACCAGAGGGTGGGCGCAAGGGTGGTTATAGAATGTTTTTTTAATTAATAAATTAGTTTATTAATTATTTTTATTTAATTTTTATTATCAAATAAATAAATTCATTAGCAAAAATAAAAAATCAGATTTTACTATTCTTTAAATGATCAAATTTGCCAGTTTGTTAAGAAATTCCTTGTTATTTACTCGCATCAATTTTGCCACTACGAAATTATATTTTAACATTAATATCATGTGATTATAATCGTTCTTTGAATCTTGACTTTCCAACTGTTTTATTTTTACTTGCTAAAGTGAGGACTTTGATGCATTATTAATTGACGATCCGCGAATAAATCGGAGTCTTACTATTACATAGTGATCAGCGGAGGAAAATTGACACAAAAATGACCAATGTACCTTTGCATGAAAAATTGTACTATATATACTTTTGTTCCTTTACTTAAGCAAAGAAAAAAATTTACTCTTTAGCACTCGTGGATTGTTGGAATTTTTATATAGAAAATTTGTTTTTTATATGTAACGTTCGTTTTTACCAAGAGAAAATAATAGCAATAGTTTTATTATTATTGAATCTTAATTGCATTTACAATAATAAAAAATTCTTTTTTTTTCTATATACAGTTCACTCTATATATAATAGACCATTTGACTTAGTATTAGTATTAGTATTAATATAACTAGGAAAAAAATGTTTATTATAGATAGTCCGTTATCAACAATAATAATTAATTAATATATATTAATATTGGACATATAGGTCGGGCTTAATATTAATATCAATATTGATATAAAATCTTAGTATGTTACAGAGGATCCGTTATTATTAGAGAGTGTGAGTGGACTCTATAATAAATATTCTTAGAGGTAAAGGTTTAATGAATTCAAAAATCATGGATTATCAATTAAATTTATTGTTAAAAACATTATACATGTGAAGTTAATATTAATATTATTTTTTTTTACATTAATTATCCATATTAGTATTCTTAACTGCTTGTTTTTTATGATTTTGATTAAATCTAAATATCCATTATTTGATTTGTTGGAGAGAAGGGATTTTTCAATTATGTTTAAATCAAGCCTTTTTACCACCACTTTTTTCCCAAATTTTTGTTTACTTTTTAAAGCAAATTGTGGTATGAATTTTTCATACAATAAATTTAAGTCATTATCATCTATTGACAATGATATCTATTGGTTCAAAATTAGTAATGGGTTTGATAACGATTATAAAAGTTTTATTGTTATTGTGTAATGGACATTTGTAGATTTTTATTTTTTGAAAATTTTATATATATAAATTTCCTCCGTATTTTTATAATAAATTGATCGACATTTCTCTGATTTATAGACAGATCGTCAATTAAATATTCTGATTCATTTTTTATGGTAAAAGATCGTCACTAATACCGATATGGTAATTTTAGACTGCATATGGTAAGATCATCTCACATACCGATTATGGTAAAATCCCAGACTGTACTATGCTCACAAAAATTCTCACATAGTATAGTGTATAGAGTACTATACCCCGCACATCTCTACATAGGACCTACCTGATAAACATCTCTAAAATTATACTGCGCACAAATAATTATTATGCTCAGATTGAGCATTTTGCATATTGACTTTAGGCACTGGGAATGATAATGGCTGTACCATTAAAATCAATTTAATTACAACATTAAATGAAAGAAAATTTAAAAATTGGAGTTCTCCTCATTATTTTATTATTAAAAACAAAAAAGGTAATATTATATGGAATTGTACATCACTAACATACTGGAATTCTTTCCTTTTTTATACCTACTTTTACTTCACATTGTAAATGTTCACCACAATAATTATTATCAAGTTTTTTTGGAAGATGACAGTACCGTCTGATTTTGTTATTATTTGTTATTGTTTATTTAATATTTTACAAATCAAGGATTAATTAATCGATAATTTTCCTGACAACAATTTACCTTTTACGTTTTACCCAAAAATTACATTGACGTGGCTAATAAAAAAAAATTTTTTTTATTAATTAAATAACATCATATACCATTTATTGATTTCCATCAAAATTAATTACATTATTTGGTGGAGGTGGAGATGGAGGTTGTTGAAATTCTTTCTTTGACATATTAATAACAAGAAATTTCAGGGATCAAAAACTTGCCCATAGTAAAAAATAAAATAATTGGCGTAACAAATCCAAAAAAATTTGAAAGATAGTTAATACGAAGATCAATTTCATAATGTTATCAAAACCACTTAAAGTAGCTTTCATACATCCTGATTTAGGAATAGGTAAGTTTTTTTTTGATGTTTCACTTTTAAAAATCATTATTAGGAAAAATAGAAATTATCAGTATTTTGATTTATTGACCTAGCATTTTATACTCATAGGTGGTGCAGAAAGACTTGTGGTAGATGCGGCAGTTGGTTTGCAATCAAAAGGTCACGATATTGTTATATATACTTCCCACCATGATCGTAGTCATTGTTTTCAAGAAACTAAAGATGGTTAGTGCTGTCATCCATCATTCATCATTTATTATTATAATGGTTTTATTAATTAACTTTGATTTGTAGGTACACTTGATGTCAGAGTACGAGGAAATACAATTATTCCTAGTACATTTTTTGGATATTTTTATATTGTGTCTGCAATTCTTAGGCAACTTCATTTGTCGTTATCTTTGATCTTTACAGATAAGGATCAATATGATGTGATATTTGTAGATCAATTATCTGCATGCATTCCTTTATTAAAGTTAACCGGCGCTAAGGTATTATTATTGATGTATCAATGCTTTATTTTCTATACATATACAAAAATAATTCAATTACAACTGTTTAATCTTGGATAAGGTCTTGTTTTATTGTCATTTTCCAGATAAATTGCTGTCCATAAGGGAATCCTTGTTAAAATCAATTTATAGATATCCAATTGATAAGCTAGAAGAATTAACAACTGGTAATTATTAATAATCAATATGTATGTATGTGCGTATATATAATTTTTTTTAAAAAAATCATTATTTAAATAATGTATATATTTTAATAATCTTGTTAGGTATGGCTGATTCTATAGTTGTCAATAGTAGATTTACATCACTTGTATTTCAAGAATCTTTTCCAACAATTAAAAATATACCACAAATTCTTTATCCTGGTATACACTTTGATTCATATGATAAGGAAATAAATTTACAAGATAAAAATATAAAAATTTTGGAAACGTAACTTTATTTTATTATTATGTTTATTATTTTTGAAGGTCAACTGATCCTTTGGAGGCATCTGTACATAGAAAACAGAAATTTGATCCATCATTACAAGGACGAAAAGCAGACTTTTCTGTTTATATACCAATTAGAGGTGAAAATTTTTATTTACTTGTATCAGAAACAAGGTCTGCCGATTATATATTATTAAACAAAATCACTTTGGAAAGTTGTGATATGATGAAAATGGGAAATGAAATGAAAGATGTAATCGATAAGTGTATTGATAATGGAATAAAAAGCAATGATTTGAGAATTTGTGGTTTACTGGTTGAAGGCAAGTTATTTGCATTGACATTTTCTTAATAACACTATTAATACCTATAATCTAATCTGGTTTTTGTAAAGAAATTCAAATAATATTTCTGTTTTAATAATTTATTCATATTAATTTGGTTAAATAAATTATTACTATATTAGGTATTTGATCTGCGAATTTTTTTTAAAGAACGATTTAAATTTTTTTTTTTTCTATATACAGTTCACGATAAAGTATCAATCATTTTACTTAAATGGTATATTATTATAATTTATTTGAATAAATAAAAATCAAGATAGATGAAATTATTGGAGTAACAATGATAATTAATAAAAATAACAACAAAGAGAATAAATGCGATGTTGATTGTTGTTGTTCAATTTGAATTAAAATATTCTCAAGTTTATTTATGAATGTTTCTAAGGAAAATAAATTTTTAACATGGTCCCTTCCTTTTTTACCTAGATCATATCTATTATATTTATTTAAAATAATAGATGAAAGTGCCTCTGAAAAGGCCTCAGGTGTTGCTTCACACAAGAAACCAGTCTCCTGATTTCTTATAGTTTCTTTTGGACCACCATTATTAACAGCTATCACAGGCAAACAAGAGTACATAGCTTCGATTGGTACAATTCCAAAATGTTCGTT